TATCTAGAGAAATGTAAGACGGTATATAAGATCAGAGGAAGAGGATATTGGTAGAGTCTATGATTGGGAGTAAAGCTCCATGGGTTGAAGACTGATGAGGACGTGGGTCCTCAGACCCATGGATGAAGCAGAGAGCCTTCTCATTGTGGGGCATACCTGTGATGGTCCACTGTAAGGAAATCATAGAGCTGGTAACAGCAACAAAGTGTTCGGTAGACTTGAGATTTCAAAATGGTAAATACTTCCTAAAAAAGTGCTTGAGCTGACTTATCTTAGCTGAAATATGAAAAAACTAAGGCCCAGAAATCACACAATTGAACCTAAATTGACCATGCAAGAAAAGAAGAAATAAATTCCACAATATTCCAAAGGTTTGTCAAAAGTTATGGTATATTCTGTGACAGCCACTAACTTATTACCACTCATAACTGTTCTGAGTGATATCTAATTCAGGTAGAAAAGTAGTAGGACAAGGTGTGTGTGTGTGTGTGTGTGTGTTGGCTATGTTTATAGGCTTACATTTATCGTTGTTTTTTTTTTTTTTTTCCTGGTACGGAAGACCAGCCCTGAGCTAACATCTGTTGCCAATCCTCCTCTTTTTGCTGAGGAACATGGTTGCGAGGTAACATCTGTCACCATTTTCCTCTATTTTGTATGTGGGATGCTGCCATGGCATGGCTTGATGAGCAGTGCCTTGGTCCACACCTGGGATTTGAAGCTGGGAACCCTGGGCTGCCAAAGTGGAGTGTGCAAACTTAACTACTATGCCAGCTGGCGGGCCCCCATTTATCGTTTTGTGTGTGTGTATGTGTGTGTGTGTGCGTGTGCGCGTGCGCGTGTGAGGAAGATTAGCCCTGAGCTAACATCTGTTGCCAAGCCTCCTCTTTTTTTTGCTGGGGAAGATCGGCCCTGGGCTATCATCCATGGCCATCGTCCTCTACTTTATATGGGAAGCGCCCACAGCATGGCTTGATGAGTGGTATGTAGGTCTGCGCCCAGGATCCGAACCTGTGAACCCCGGGCCACCAAAGCGGAGCATGTGAACTTAACCACCGCACCACCGGGCTGGCCCATTTTTTTTTTTAAGCCAAGATGTAGAAGAAAGTTCTGTTAAAAATCACTGATTCAGTGACATCTATAAACAACATTTGCTCATCCCATTAGGGATTTATGGAAACAGCTATATATGCAGAAAGCCATCAAAATCAATTTACTGTTGTTAATGGCAGAACACAGGGCTATGTTCTTGCTTCATTAATGTCTATTACTTACTTCCAATAATGGACTAGTTGCTGTCAAAGACCAAGTACAGGTCAGACTATATTCTGTGTGAGATCACAAAAGCAAGTAATGGTGGTATTTGAAATTTCCTGTGTACAGATAATTGCATATTTCTAATAAAAATAATGTGGACTTCTTTCAGCCATTATACCAATGCTGTGCTTCACTCTGCCTGTGTCAACTGCTAAAAAGACAAAGAATCCGCTGTAGTGAGAGCTCATAGCTTAATTCACATAGAAGATCAGCTGCCATCCTGTTAAACGGCTTGTTCTGCATGTCTTTTGTTATCTGGCTAGTGTCATTTCTTACCACACTCCCCAATGTCTAGCCTTTAAAAGAAGTAGTTATTCAATTGGCAAGAGCTAGTGCTGATGGATGGCTGAAAGAGAGTTTCTCTCAAGACATGCCATAGCCTAAAGGCAATCGAACCATGTGTACATTACAAGGTGGGCATCATCTTATAAATGAAGTGAATTTAATGTAACTTTCACATCACCTGAGGGAGGTGACATAAAATAAAATCGTAAAACAATATTCCAAACCAACACCAGTGACGCAGAAATGTAACAAAAGGCAGAAGAATCTATTATGATGTTCCCGGTAGTGGGTCGTGGGGGTCATTTCCCCCAAATACGTAAGATTAGAGTATCTAAGACATTTCCATAGTTAGCTGTGTGATCCCAAGTGCATTTCTAGGCGTGCAGTTAAAGGATGCCACAATCTCTAAAGAGAATGGGAGCTGGCAGCAAACAAGTGCTCTGAATGGGGCCCGGCTCAGCACACAGGGATCCGGCTGCGTGTAGCAAATTGTGTGAAGAAAGCAAAGGTAAGGACAGAACTGAGCAAAACGAAAGGTGCCTCTGCCCGTGGCAAAGTCAAGGTGGACGTCTGTGAGGTGCTCAGGGCTCTAAGTTCCTAAAGGCATACATGAGATCTGTGTGTGCATACGTGTTTGTTGTAACCATGCAGTATCTATCTATCCATCTACCTAATTTTTACTTATAGGTTTTAGGACCGTCATGTAGCTCAGACAACAAGGAGGGAGACAACTCTTCACCTATTTTTTTTTCTCTTCCAGCCAAGAAAGTTAGAGCTTCTATCCTAGAAGTTACCTCACAGATGTAAAATCTGATTCTTACAAGACGTGCCATTATTTAAAAAGGTTAGCTATACAAACCGTATTACGGAAATGCACTTAAATAGAAAATCCCAAAACCAAATGTACTCAAATTTACCAAAGGAATATTAAAATCGAGCACGGTGTGTCTGATGAGCCCAAGACAGCAATTCTACACCCCGATCCTATGTCAACACCATGGTTATTAAAGATAACCATGCTGCACGCACTCAGCTCAGAGCACTGAAACAGGGGCCCACCTAAGGGCTGGACATTTCCCCGTGTACGTTTCAGCACCGATTCTGCTCCTCAGCCACAACAGAATCCTTCAGACCAAATACCATTTGTTTTGGTTTCCTTTTAAAGGATCCAATATTCTTCAACACCAATAAAAATGATACATTGTGAAAAAAATGTTTTTAATGCAAGAACCAAATAAATGATTTATTTAAATTATTTGAATGAATGAAATATGATTCAGGAGCTGTGAAATTGGTCCACAATAACATCTTTTGCAGAAAAAAGGCACACAAGCAAAGAATTTAAAAGTGAACAAGGAAAGCAGAGAGACAGAATGTTTGGTATTCAGGTAATCAGAGGAAGGCATCATGATCAGCTGATGATCATAACAATGCTGAGTCATCCATTAAAACGAGTTAAGCCTATCTCTTACAAGGCTCCACATCAGTTATCTAGAAACTTCATTCACAAAGAAACACTTTCCAATAATAATAGTCACAATAACACATTGTACTAAAAGATCCTCTTGGTAGTCCTAGGAGGCAAGTACCATCACTATCTCCATTTTCTAAGAGGAAGCTGACACTGAGACCACGTGATTTGTGCCAGGTCATACAGCACGAGCACTGAAGAGCCCGGTGAGCAGATGGGAGGGAGGAGAGAGAAGAGGAAAAAATAGGAAGGAAAGGAGGAAAAAAGGAGGGATAAAGAAAAAGGGAAGTTGGGGGAGGATGGAGATGACCTTTGATGAAGACGGCAAAGCAAGACTGTAGCGCACTTACGGCCAGCCCTCCTTCTCCTGGGTCCTCACCTGTCTACACCACACTATCCCTCCACTGTCCAAGGTCCAAGGGCAGCACTCTAGCGACACCCCCCTGGACTCTATCCTCCTTAAAACCCATCTGTGTCTGCCTGCCTCCCAGGGCACTCTTTGCTGCTTCTTAAATTCATCAGCAGAAACAGATCTGTGATGGGAGCTGATTTATTGCAGGGGAAATATTTGAGTTATCTGCCATGAACATTTAGATCTGAACAAGGACATTTTGAGACAATGCTCCAACCCAAAGGCATCGAGAGTTCATGCTTAAAAGATAGTCTCTGGTAGCAGGAGGAAGCTGGAGCTTGGGGCTCACCTAAGACCTTACCCTTTAATTGATAATTCCAACCTTTTAGAGTAATAACAGCTGTTTGCATTTAAATTGCTTTACAAACTATAAAACGTCTTCATTTAAAGTGTACCCTATTTGACCCTCATACAATTCTATGAGGGTAACATATTCCTATTTTACAGGTAAAGAAACCAACTCAGAGATATTAAAGAGACAGGGTTAGCAGGTGCCAACCAAAGACCGGAACCCAGGCGTTGTGAATCCACATACAGTGCTCCTCTCATGACTGCCTGCTTAGGCACAAAAGCAACTCTAAAAGCCCAAGATGCAGTCAGCTTAAGATCAAACACCAAGTTGCTGTTGCTAATGAGATCAAGCCGACAAGAAATACAGTGGGAAATAATCTACCACTACAAAGTAGTGGTAATGAATTTATTATTTGTTTTAAATAAAACCAAATATAAAAAGTTATTTTCAGAATCAAATCAAGTTTTTTATCAACTCCTTCCAGGCTTACTGACAAAAACTAAAGTCAATGAAACCTGCCTGTGGCACATGAAAGCCAAACTATTAACAGACTGGTAGCAATGACTAGAGAACCAGTTTGTGTTAATAACCCCAGTGGAAAAACATTTCAGAGCATCCTGCAGTATCCCTTATTTCAGTCTTTCACTTGTTGGAAGTATATGTTAACATGTAGAAATTCTGTTATAAAAACTGGTGGAAATCCTCCTCATTATGTATCTTTGAGCCTGCACAGGATACTTATTTGACTGGAGTTGGTTGCTAAAGGCCTAAATCGGAGTTCAACCCCCAGAGGACAATTTCACTCTTCTCCAAGATCCACTATTTCCCTCTCATTCCCTGCTGAGCATCGTGTACAAACATAACACCTGTTGTAAGGGCTGCTTGGATGAGGTGAGAACACAGGAGCACAAACACACGACCACCATGGGGGATGCTCTCTGCCGCTGATCTCCAAGTGCTTCCCAGGACCAGGAACTTCCCAAGACCATGACCATCACCTGGGAACTTGAGAAAAATGCAGATGCTCCCACCCAGACCTACTGAATCAGAAACAGCCATCTGTGCTTTAAACAGCCCTCCACATGGCCTTGCTGTCCGATAAAGGGGGTGAACTACTACTGTAAGTTGATCACTTGAGAGAATAAACTTCAAATTTAAAAGATACTATTTTTAATTATTACAATACTGGTGTACTATAAAATCTGTACAAAAATATGATTCCTTACCACATGCCCACATATCCACCGGCTTTCCATAAGGATCTTTACGTAAAACTTCTGGAGAAAGGTATCCAGGTGTGCCAGCAAAACCTAGGGAGAACAGATGTTAATGAGTCAGAGTTGACTTGACAAAACCAATACGAAATAGGAAGCTAAGGAAAAAAACATTTTTGAAACTTTTTATCTGATGATATGTTTGTCAAAGTAAAACAAGGCTCTCTGAGTGCTAAAATACTATAGATGGGCATTAACACTAATCTGTCCCGCTTTGTAGCTTATGAGGAAAAAATATATCTTTTCTCCAGATCTGAAGGCCAATCTATTGTACTACATAGTCAGTGTGTATACTGAAGTCCACTTGGTTATCAGTTCTTATTCTCACTCGCTCATGTGGGAGTTAAAACTAAACCTGTGAAAGGGATCAGATCACGCTGCCCCAAAACACGCCACTGTGGCACACTGATTATTTTGAGTGAAAGGCAGTGGAGAAACAGCAGATGCAGGAAGGGCTCTTTAATCTCCGCCTTTCTACCTAAAAGTAGGACATAAATTTCTTGCAAGAAAGGCACCCTCCCTGCATCAGGAAGAGGAGAACATTCTTATCACCAGAGATGGGGAGTTGGTGCCAAGATGAATCTATACCAACAAACAAACCTTACTATATAACTCTGATCTTCCATCAGTATCACCCCCACATTTCCTGGTTACTTCCCCACAATTTAATACAAGTCCAAACCCTCTTTTCCTTCGTCTTGTCATATCTCCACAATTTATCATTCTTAGTTAAAATGGGATATAAGCCTCTGTGTCTAGTCTTTCTATAGGTCTTCTTTACAAGGAAGGCCTCTGTGTGCATGTAAAACTAAAATATTAACATCAAATAAAATTTATATGCTTTTCTCCTGTTAATCTGTCTTTTGTCAGTTCAACTTGCAGGCCCCAGGCACAGACCTAAGAAAGGGGAGGAAAAGTCGCTCCTCCCCTATACCTGAAAAGAAATAAGGAGAAAATTGGATAGGGTTAGCATCTTGCAAAAGATAATAGTTATCATGATACCTACACAACTTTCCTATGAGAAGCATTCACCTTTAAATAGAAGGATCCAAAACATAGATCCCAAGGACAAATTTAAAGCAAATTTCCAGTAAATATTTTGAAAGTGAGGTAGTCTATGGGGGGTAGGGGATGGGGCAGAGAGTAACTGAAGAATGCACTAGGATATCAAAGAACTCACTGTGTACTAACAAATAATCAGTGTGTACTTATAACTGGCAACTGAAGAGAAGACTCAGGAATATTCAGATGAATCACTATTGAACAAGCACCAACTAGACTTTTAAGAGAGAGATGTGGTAAGAGAAACTGGATGGTAAAAGAAAGCTTCCTATTATATAAATCAGTGTAGAATCTAATAAGGCACACTTAAATAGCAATCAATTTATAGCTAGACTCTCGAGTAAAATATTTCTTCTTATTTCTGAAAATAATAGTTTTTAAATAAAAATACTTACTTTAAAAAAATACCAAAAATAACTATTCTCATTTGGAAGTTTTCTTTAAAGGCACACATAAAAACTGGAAAAATTTCTTTAAAAGGATATGTAATCCAGAATTCTTCTGACCACAAATCACTGATGAAGCACATTATATATTTACTGGGATGCAAAATGCCCAAGAAAGGAGCTTTCCCTCCCATCTTCATGACAGATTTATACTTATTAATAAGTACAAGCAAGGTGTTAAGAGGTATAAAGACAAGCATATGTATAATAGCATGGTTACTTCTCTGAACAAAACTACACTAGAAAATGAGGCAAGGATTTTGGATTTCACCTTCTTCCCTCCCCTCCTTTCATTACTTCTCCTTTCCTTTGTTTTGGAGGAAGAAGGGGAGGACAATGAGAAGGGACTCCAAGAAAAGACCTGTCTGTTGCAGTTTAAGCTTTACATGGACCAAAGGGGATCCACCTCTACCTCAAACTTTACTCGAAAGAAATGTTTGCTTGCTAGTTGTGAGGTGAAAGAATTACTGAGCAACCATGGTGGTTCCACTGCCTAAAGTCTGAGGGTTGCCTGAAGGAGCAGTGTGGAGTCAGCTAATTCCAAGGTAGGGATGGGCACAATAGTTTTAAAGAGCTTCCCGGTGCTTCTGGTATATGCCATACCTGCTCTTTCTCTCTCATTCCAATCCTCCCTTTCCAGCTCCTCCCAAGTTGAGACACAAAGGGAATCCAATGAGAAACCAATGCCAAAGTCAAGATTAAAGACCAAGGTCCTAGTGGGCACTTTAAGACCCTTTATCATCTGGTTCCCGTTCATTCATCCAACATGATTTCTTTCTGTTTCTGAGTACTTGACCTGATTAATGTCTTTAGGGTCTCTTGAAAACAGACTTCTCATTCCCACCCTGGATATTACTTCTTCTGTTCCTTGAACCCTCAATTTTTTAATCTTCTCTCTAATAGAGGGTTGCTCTAAATTATTTTCTTTCTTTTTTTTTTTGTGAGGAAGATCAGCCCTGAGCTAACATCCGATGCCAATCCTCCTCTTTTTTTGCTGAGGAAGATTGGCCCTGGACTAACAGCTGTCCCCATCTTCCTCTACTTTATATGGGACGCCGCCACAGCATGGCTTGACAAGCAGTGTGTCGGTGCGCACCTGGGATCCAAACACGCAAACTCCAGGCCACCACACCAGAGCGTGCGCACTTAACCGCTTGCGCCACGGGGCCGGACCCTAAATTATTTTCATCTTAAAGATCTCCTTAGCTAACTACAGTTCTCTGTGGTCCTATCTTGCTCTGAATTTCGACCACCCTTTATTTATATACAATCTGTACTCTCCTAGCTAGAATTAGTAAATGTTAATGTATGTCTTAATAACTTAGCAGAATACACGGCCTAGAGCAGGAAATGTTAATGATATTTAATCTAGGTAGAAAAGATAGGGAAGTAAGTCACTATGTGAGTAAGAAATAAAAAGATAATTTTAAATGTAAATTATTAAAAAACTTCTCCTGGAGACTAAAATGCTAGGAGAACCCTATCACATTCATTCTTACCGAGTACAACTCTCATTTGAGTAGTCAGTGGGGTCCTTACTCCTAAGACAGTGAAGCATACATCTAAATGCACGAACGTCAAGAAACCATGTACTGTACAACGTGTTCTCGCGAACTCAGAAACACTGAGGGGAAAACAGATATGGCCTTCTTGTGCAGGAGACTAAATTCAGCATATATCATGATAAATAAACAAGATTTTTGTATCAACAGGGAAACTAATAAGAGCCTGCCTTCTTTAGAGACATGTATGTTTCTCACTCTGAAAAACCAACAGGAATATCAGAACAGATCAAACAAAGAAAAAACAGAATTACTTACTGTTGGAAATGTATCCATTGCAACATATTGCCATTATAAAACCTTAATATTTTAAAAAAGAGACATAACAGCAACCAAAGTAAAATTATTTTACCAAAGTAAAATAATTCTTCCAGGAAGCAAGATTGTGGTAGTTATCCTTTTTTCCTACCAACAATAAAAACTAGAAATTTATTCCAAATAGCATTTCCAGTCCCACAGGAGAAACAAGTCACATTTGGATATCTCTCTTTGGTAAATTTTCCAGCCATTTAGCAAGTGTAGTGACATGGGGTGTTACTTTGAGCATTTTGGGCTAGTATTCAAATAGATCAGGGCTAGGAGGACAGAAGAAGTGAACCTGGGAAAAACAAACATTTAGACTTGAAAATGAGAATGAAAAAAAATCAAACACAATAAACAGCTTCTATAATGCCTTGTATGGTTTTATTTTTCTTATTTGTAGTCTACCTCTTATATTTATTAACATAAAATTATACAAAATCCTGAAACTCTGGCATTACACATAAGGAAGAAACAGCTCTGCTCTTTTCTTATTAAAATAAAAAGGCTCCCCCCTCAACATTGATGTTACATTTTTTTGCTGAGGAAGAGCAGCCCTGAGCCAACATCTGTTGCCAATCTTCCTCATTTTTACTTGAGGAAGATTAGCCCTGAGCTAACATCTGTGCCAACTTCCTCTACTTTATATGTGGGCTGCCGCCACAGCATGGCTGACCAGTGGTGTAGGTCTGCGCCTGGGATCCGAACCCGTGAACCTGCGCTGCCCAATCAGAATGTGCAAACTTAACCACTATGCCAAGGGGCCGGGCTTGTTATTTACATTTTAAAAGATAAAATTAACGAGTCAAATATATGAGACTATGATGCCAGATAATACTGAATAAATATCAAAAAAGTCATTCAAACTAAAACATGCCTTTACTCCTGAAACCTGACCCCCAAAAGAAATGCAGTATACCACACACCTCCTTTCCCTCAGTTAGATTACTGTGAGGATTCACTTGGACTTGCGTAGAATGAGCTAAAAAAATTTTTTTAAATAAGCTAAAGGAAAAAAAAGGAAACGTATATTCTCTTAAGCTTAGAAATTGTGTTCTTCTACACTTTTGAAATGCTGAATTTTCTTAAAATTTAAAATGCACCTCTTAAAAGTCATTATCCTAATAGGTACCTTAGTAAGAACTTAACTGTTGATAGCACAGTACTGAAGCAGAAATGGGAATTTTCTTCCCTGTCATTGCTTCTCTGGGACCAGCTTGCTTTTAGAAATGAATTATCACAATTTGAAAATCTGTGTGCTCTTATTTGGATGCTATTGCTTCCGCTAACCTGACATTCAGTCTTCCACTCACTGGCTCACTTGACAGCTTTCACTGTGTAGGCAAAGAACTGTGACCTCGTGTTTCACACCAAGATGGTTCTGAAAACTTACTGAACAGCTTCCACAGCCCAGGCAGGGTCCCATGGACGACTTCATTTAGTTTCATAACAGCCCTGTCCAAGAGTGCTTACTATCTCCACTTACAAAGACGACGCTGACCTCATCGAGTTAAAGGGACTTCCCCGTGTCATACAGCTGTAAGAATCAGAGCCAGGACAGGAGCTCCGGTATTCTACCTCAAAAAGCAGAATTTTTTTCCACCACACACGGTCCTGGCCCTCAAACAGCTTCTGATCTAGCAGAGGAGATAAAATCCGGAGCTTAAAATAGGGGAGATTTAAGGAGCTCAACCCCAACACCTGTGAGCATCAAGCCAAGGTACAGATGTTAATTCTGAGCCTCAGCTTGCATAACAAGGCTTCTGGTCATTGCTGATGTCCAATCATCATCTTGTACTCAGCTCTGGCAATTACACACTTGAGCCAAAGTCCCTATTTTGATATCCTGTCTCATACCCTAAGATTCATGAAGTGGGGTCCTGCTTTGCTCTGGACAGGACTCGAGTCCTGTCTTTGAACCCAACCTCTGGGGCTTTGATGTCCTCTAGGCAGATTCCCTGAGAGTTCGAGACCCTGTCCGCTCTGCGTGTTATCTAGAACTTGCCTACTCCTAGATATTCCTTAGTTCAAGCTGTCTTCATTCATAATTTGAACTACTGCATTAGTCTAACTGGTTCATTGCCTTCAGGGTAACTACCCTAAGCCATCCTCCACATTGCTACCAAAATCATTATTATGTAACATAAACCTAATTACGTTCCTCTGTACTTAAAATTTTTCACCAGATCCCTGCAACTTCTAAGATAAAAGCCAAACCCTTCAAAAGGACATAAAATCCTTTCCTCCTCATTAACTATTGCTCATCCCAGTATACTTTATACTTCAGCTATATCAAACTTCTTGTTATTCTTGCAATTGAAAAAACAATTTCATGCCTCTGAGATTTTGCACGTGCTGATTCCTCTGTCCGCAACGCCTTTATCTCCTTGCCCGCCACGGAACAAATGCTCATTCACCCAGTAGGGAGGTAGAAGCATTACTCCAATCACTGAAGCTTTCCGAAGAGGCAGAATTTCCTATTTCCCCTACTGCGCTCCTGAGCCCCTCAGGCAGGCCTCTGTTAAGGTGCTCCCACACTGCGTGGGAAGTAGTTGTTGATACGGAGGTGTGAGCATCTCGAGGGTCGGGACCTCCTGTTTAATTAATGTACTTCCCGTAACTTGCTCTGGCCCTCTCTGTGATAGCCCTGCCACTTCCTGTTGGACCCTAACTCCTGTTACTGTATATTCTTTATCTGTGTCAACCATCTTCTTACCCAGGATACAAAGATGTCTTTGAGTCTCAAATTTACAGAACTAGGTCCTACCTTCTTTCAGTTTGCAGTTAACATATGTCAAAATATGACAAACCAAATGCCAAGTCTGGAATTATTAAATTCATCCGGTGGGTAAGGAGAGACTTTAAAAGGCAGTATTAAACCTAGGAGGGGTTGCAGACAAGGGTACCAGTCAGGTACTACGGAGACAGGACAGGCAGCAGAACATGAAGCCCTACATCAGGCTGCTGGCAGAGGTGACGGGGGAAGGCTGCCACGCCACCCACCCCCGTTAACCAGCTGGGGCGGGTTAGAGAGACGGTGAATCCCAGGAGCCCTGTGTACATCTTCGGAGGTGTGTATGTCTAGGGACACAGAGAAGGGTTCACGTATAAAACAAAAGAAGCAGTTTTTGAGTTCTCTTTCTGTTTGTTGTTGCTGTCCAGAGGAAAATCAATTAGAAGTGATTTAGTTATAATTAAATTATAATTTTAAAACATTAACCACAATACACTGAAAGTCAGCAAAGAAGTGAGACTGAGGTTTTGGAAGAGGTTATATTCTATGACATTACATGAAAAATGGGTTAATACTGGGAAATGTCAGAAAGAGAGGCATAAGAAAATCAGTGGATAAAATAATTTAACAGGTTAAATATTGAAATAATGCATTAGCCTTGTTAAAAGTACTCTAAATTTATTTAGGTTAATTTCTCCCTTAATTTTAAAGAAATAGAAATTTCACCATAGAGAAATTTCAAAATTATCAAAATTTTAGGGACGAAATTGGCAGTTTGGAGAAAAAGAAGATAAGATGAAACACACAAACACATATATACATACAGTCCTGCGTCACTTAACCACGAGGATACATTCTGAGAAAGGCATCAGGCGATTCTGTCATTCTGCAAACATCATAGAGTGCACTTATATAAACCTAGATGGTGTAGCCTACTACACACTTAGGCTGTATGGTATTAATCCTATGGGACCACCGTCGTATATGCGGTCCATCGTTGACCAAAACATTGTTATGTGGTGCATGACTGTAGACATATGTGTATAGATATGTATAGTATATTGTGACATACTATATATTTTTTAAAACTTTAATTTGTTAATCATGAAATACGTGAAATATTCTGTATTTCCTGAATATCTACTATTTACATACCAGTTTTTGGCATCAAATAAGGTTGTATGTGAACAATCAATTTTTTCTTAAATAAAAAGTACTCTTTGAATACTGCAACCCTCCTATTAAGTCTGAGTACAGGATCCATTGTCTCACCCATCCTTTCAGAAAAAAGTCTATGTGTTATTGCTCTCCATTAATATTTTCCCTTAAATCATTTCTAGATTATATGCCCCTTAATGGCAGTAAAATCAAGCGCTTTCGAAGGTCCAATATCTTAAAATGAGTCAAATGGTTGTTAGGAACATTCCCATTTTATTTTGTTTAGGAAGTGGGATGTGACTGGAGCCAGAAGAGTTGGAGCAGCAGAAAGGAAAGACAGGCCCTACTCACCAAACCACGCCTGCTGGTCGCCTTGAACTTCTATGGCTAAGCCAAAGTCGGCCAGTTTCACAGCTGCTCCCTTGGATTTGCTAGCTAAAAGCAAATTCTCAGGCTTTATTTAGAAAGAAAAAAAAAAGAGACTGAAGTGAGAACCTATTTTAATGACTATTCAAAACTAACATTTTATAAGATTGGGGGGGAAACAAGTCATGCATTGTTCTCTCTCCAGGAGACTGTCATTCCTAAATCTCAGGGAAAATATGGTTAGAAAATGATTAAAAATTATCATGTGTGCAGGCTTCAGACAGATGCATAAATGTACTAGACAGCTACTGGGCAAAAGAGAGAACACACTTGAGGAGAGATCAAATGAATGGAAGCACCTGTCTTGACCTGCTCACATGTTTCCAAGGGCCACTTGAGGTCCAGACTTGGCCATGGACGTTGACTTAGAAGCCTAACAGAGCATAGACATTTTCAGCAGAAGGAAACTTGGCAAAAAGATAACAAGAGTTGGACCAATCTACAGACATTTGGCAAATGAAACGTTGCAAATTAAATCCTAGCTGACTTCAAGAGTTTGGACCCGAATGTAGTGATTTTGATTCTTCAATGTTTCCAAACAATTTCTGTACAAATTTTGTAGTCTTATTCTGAATTATGCATTAAAATTGCTGTCTTTAAGAATCTGTTTATTCTTAAAGGCAGAAAGAGTGTACTACTATTTGCCAAATGTTATAGTTAGCTTTTTTTCTTTATAAGCCAGTTTTTTAAAACATAATTTACGTCTTCAAAGTGTGATTCAAAGCATTACTTATATATTTATTTTCACATCTTGGAATACTGTAAGAAAGATACATTTTTATTTTCTTGGGTATTTACCATCACTCAAGGACTGATAACTCAGTCTTGGAATAAGGCTGTGTCCACACCACTGTTTCCCAACTAGAGAATCGAGACACATTGGTACTTTGAAAATAAGCACCATGGCAAAGTCTTGAATTTCCCCTGACTGCCTGTGTGGATTCTAAAAAATGAAAGAAGATGGTCAGGAAAACGAGGCTGATTAACACATCCAGTGAAGTCCATTCATTCCCTGGTATCTGGATGAACACATAGCTGGACTGCTGTACATACATTAAAGAGTGGTTCAACATCTTTTTACCTTGGGATAAGACCCAGCAAATTTAGAGGTGTGTCTCAGACTGAAAAAAGTTGGGAAACAATGGACTTTACAAGTGCCAAAACGATTGAAAATTTTAAAAATTCAGTCAATCAAATTGATTTTGGTTATATGTTGACAAACAATGAATTTCATATTTTTTCATGAGATTGGCTACTTTTTTTTCTTACTGAATTAGTTGAGTCTGTTGGTGGTTTTGACCTTGTGTAAACACAGCCTAAACCAATATTTAACTGATTAATTAAGCCAGCCATGCAAATTAGCAAAGACTCATAACCAGAACTTAGAAGAAATTAGGTTAAGTCTCCCAGAAATAAGAGTGTAGGCAAGTAAGTTTTCATCAAGTACCAGACTTCTTCAGGCTATTGCTGCCCACTGCCATCAGATTCGTCACTGTTAGGACAATTGGTAACTGTAAGGAAATCTCTGTAATGTTTTAGGGCTGACAGTGTTTGAATTACCTCAACACTAAATACATGATAATTTAATTTGGATGTTGGGATGAAGATGTCTCAAGAATATGAAAGATCTCCATGCTGAAATAACTTTTAGTAAAACCTAACATTCGCGATTACTTGGAACTCTGGTTGTCTGTCAATACACTACAGTATCTAACCATGTTACATTATTCATATTTGACATTTTACTTTCAGAACTAAAGTTTATGGTCCACTACATACATGCATTTTCTAATTTAATCAAGAAGAAATTAATAATTTCCAAATAACTTGGAAAAACCACATCACACTGTAAGCAATAGTTTATTTCCTTGTAACTTCACATTCAAAAGCATTGAGATGTGAGAGACCTCTGCTAATACACCTCTGTCCTAATGTGTCAACCACAGACTCATTCAAGGGAAGAGTTCCAATCACTTTGGAAATCATAATCATTTTAGGCCTTTTTAAATCAAGTGCTATTGAAAGTTTGTTGAGCAAGTATCAGTGTCATCAGTGAAAAAACAAAAAATTTAATATGCTTTTATTCTTATCACTAAATCAAAAAGCTTCTGGGCAGTGCTGTGTGCATTATGCCCTTAAACACCAAGTATCTGCCAATTCAGAAGAAATGGAACACCTTAGAACTTTATCATGCATGGCCTCTGAATGACTAGAGCAAATATTCACACCTAGAGACAACCTAGAAGACCTCTCTGGAGGGCCTTGTGAGTCATCCAGGAAAATAATAAGCCCGTCTGGACTAGTGTTTCACCTTTTACCCATGAAGACTGTTCAGCTGCAGTTATGCTCAGGAAAAGGCAGGGTTAGTTCAAGGTTATTGTATAAATTTAAAAATCAATAGCACTGAAATGGCTTCATGTTTATGTATATCTTTTAGGCAAGCCTAAAGTACAGAATTATGGAATGCAAACAGAAAAATTAGGATGATTATTGACTTTATTAAAGGATTATTTGCTTTATAAAATGTTTCATCACAAAATTGCTTCTAATGGCCAGCTTCAATGAAATATTAAAAATATCACATACAACTCTTTGGAATTTATCAGTTTGAATAATCCTGTTATCACATTCTACCATTCATATAGCCTCCAACTTAAAAATATATTGTACTACAAAAGTTCATTGGCAAGTAGGTTACTTCAAATTCTGAATGCTTCCTTTTTATAGAGAAAAGAAGATAATTTGTGGTTATATTCCCCAAAAGCTGAAATAGAATCTTTCAGCTAACCAGTGGCTACTTCCTTAAAAAGGATCTCCACTACACTCTTATCTGCTACTATTGCACTCTTTTGATTTTCTAAAGCGAATGAGAAAGGTGAGATCAGAAACACAGGTCTTCCAGTACAGCTATGGTTGATCATGGGGGCAGCACCCTATGAAAGAAATGGGCAACATGGTGATCTAGAAAGAGGGTGAAGACCTGGGTTTATGTCCTGGACCTGATGTTACTAACTATGTGGACTTGGGCAACTCATAGACTCTTGAAGCTAATTAATTAGTTCCTTCATCTCTCAAATGAACATAAGTATAACTTCTATCTCGTAACAGCATATATGAAATTATAAATCCCACTGGATTTTATCACAGAAGTGCTGTCCTCTGGAAGGGACAATATATACATCAATGAAGAACTATTACACTCCTGTGCAGCTGGCCATTTCAACGTGCAGAACATTGACTATATTTCTAATGAATGTTCATAACATGAGGAATTTCTGTATTCCTAAATTAAATGCAATCTATTATGTTAATCTTTACATACTGAGATTATCTCTCAATTCTTAGAACGAAGTCACTTTTTAGGTTGGTTTTTAAATAGATTCTACTGACATTCTCACACATAGGTTCCTTCCCCACCCCATAGCTTCCTAATGATGCAGGATTTTCCATGACATCTGGTCTTAGTGTCAACAACCATTTATAGCATATCAGCTGTAATGAGCAGCAACTGTTTGCAAGTTTTGTTCTGTACTTCCATACGGATACAATGGCAACTTCTTTCATTGTGATTTGAGATTTTCTTGAAACTGTTCAAATATCTCAAAGGACCTAGGCAAGTTGCTGGAATCACTTTTGGGACTGGAAGAGGCTTGGGAGATAAAATAACTCAAATCCCTCAGTTTCTAAATGAGGTAGGGAGGTCCATAAAGGTGAAGCAAGGACTTCACCTTTGCAGCCAGATTTCCTGATTCCTTCTTTTAAAGATGTGACACTAAAGAAACCCCTCGATGGTATAAAAATGATTCATTTTCAAAAGGTGGTCCATTCAGTAGATTTCTGTCGAAGAATTTGAAGTACTCAAAAATATTTACCATGCATTTCCAAATAAAACAAAGGGAAAACTTATGAAAGAGACATAGTTTTAATTTTGCTTCTCACAAATCTCATAAATACATCCTGAGGATTTCTAAAGTAGTGTGATCTGTATTAAGGAACTGAGTCAGCAAAGGTGATGATCATCTTCAGCATCAGTCATATCACAGATTTATCTGTGCTAGATAGTGGTAACTAGACAATGAGGTGAAATCACGTGTTTTATGTTTTTCTTTATATATGTTATAAAAACAGCAAATTACTATTTTATTATTTTATATTATTTGATTCTTACATTCCCTTGGACATTAGCTTTTATTTTTTTCTATTTTTTTATTTTTTTGTGAGGGAGATTAGCCCTGAGCTAACATCTGATGCCAATCCTCCTCTTTTTGCTGAGGAAGATTGGTCCTGGGCTAACATCCGTGCCCATCTTCCTCTACTTTATATGGGACGCTGCCACAGCGTGCCCTGACAAGCGGTGCATTGGTCTGCGCCCAAGATTCAAACCTGTGAAACCTGGGCCACCAAAGCGGGGTGTGCGCACTTAACCACTGCGCCACCAGGCTGGTCCGACGTTAGCTTTTAAGAAGTGAAACTGTCTCTTTAGATTTCTTTCCTCTATTGGAGAGTCTTAGTATTTCAACACGAAGTTAACCATTTTGTGCTTTGGTGTGTTTTCAGTCACTTTTTCTTTGCCAAAGAAGGTGTGAACAAAGCTTCCAGAAATAAACTAAAAGAAGTTTTGCATGAATCAAAACTCTTGAATATCAAACTCACTCCTGCACATGGTCGAGTTCTTTTGTGCACAGGGTACAAGTCACTTTTGCTTTTGTTTTTACATGGAACGGATGTCTGCATTTACGTTCTTAGCACGGGGCGTTGTCATCTGACGCACGTGCTGAAGTTTGTGAGTAGGAAGTACTGTTTCTATCTCCACGTGTATATGACTAAGTCCATCAGAATCACACTGTATTCCATTCCTGTTTCTTGATAAGTTCTTTATCAAATGATAAAGTTCTTTAAACTTTATCACACAAACTTTCACACAAATGGTAAGTTCTTCAAACTTTCATCTAAACATGATTCTGAGAAAAGCGGAATTTGTGATTTTATAATTACTCAAAATGAAGAATTGACAATTTGATATATCTA